GCGAGGCCTGCCCAGGGAGTTCTAGAACATTCCAAGGTTAGAGAAACAGGGCCTGCCTGCAGCAAGGCGGCTGTTCATTGCCGAGCCACTTCAGCACATTGTAGGGTCGTGGGTCACTATCTTCTTTTTTTAATCCTCAAACTCGCCTTATATGCAGATGAAAAGTCTTTAAATGCATTCCCTCCCCCACCCTGCCAGCCGACAAAATGATAGACTTAAAATTTTTCATTAACCAGACAGTAATGGTGGATAAAATAATAAAAAATAATGAAATAGTAAATAATAATAAAATAATTAAAAATAAGCTAGCTATCTAGCCTTATTTATAACACGGCTTCACAGAGGCAGCCATTTAAAATAGGGAAATTCCATGGTACTAAAGATGGAATAACCCAGAAGCTGGGTGGGTGAGGATGTGAGACTCCCCTGGCTTTTGATGGTGGCTAGGCTGTAGCTGAAACAGTTGTACAAAGTACCGGGACTGTCCTAATTTCAGTACAGAGAGAAAACAGCACATACGATCTGGAATGGTTGGTTAATGACTGTGGATTAGATGGCACTAACCTCGATAGCTCCGGACATAGATGTGTAGTGTGGAAGGGCAAAATGCTATCTGGAACCGGAAAAGGGTGGACTTAAGAGAAAAGAGAGCACCACAAAGAAAACTGTAATAAAAACAAAAACCATTTAACTCTGATTAGAATTTGAAGCTATACGTGTATTTCCCAAGTTAGGCATTTACATTTATGACAAGTATGTTAATGGAATCTCAAAATGAAGAAACTGCTCTTCTCACTTCCCTACCCCCTGCTCTGCAAGATTTCTAGGCATGGAATGTCCGGAAAAAGCAAACAAGCCAATTTGGAGAGATAGATAGGCTTGCAGGAAGTGGGGTCTAGTGACATGCTCTCCTAATCCCAGCTGCTTGGGAGGAGAGGCTGAGCCAAGGAGAGCTAAAAGTTAAGAGTCTGCCCTGACGATTTAGTGACAGTTTCAAAATAAAAGGAAAGAAAAAGCTGAGGTTAGGGTTTAATTCCCTGTAAAACACACACACAGACACACACGCACACGCACACACACACCGGGTAGAACCCTCACAATAAAAGATTATAAAGTGTTTACCATGAATAGCAATGGTATGTTTGGATTGTGTGTGCTGTTTTTCTTTTTCTGACTATTTTTTTTCTTCACAACTTCAAGTAATGCATTCTGTATTTTTAAACATTTCTTTTACTGCTTTAACATACACTTTTAAGTAGAAACATAATAAATATATTTCCTCTTAAACACCTCAGGGTGTTTTAACTGATAAATCCCTCCTCCCAGTTGTCAGTTCTAGTTAGGTACCATCTCAGCTTCTCTATGTTCAAAGACTTAAATGTAATCTTCAGCAGTAGTGCCTTACCATCAGGTTGTGGAGAGCAACTAATAGCTTTGGCAATAGCCTGTGATGGCAGGGGTGGGGGGCTTGAGAGGACCCTTTGGGCAATGACTCAAAGATGCATTCCTGGCACTATGGGTTTATGTGAAAGCCTATGATGTCTAGTTGGGGTATTGACTCACCCATGTGTGCTAACCTCGTTTAGATTCCTTTTCTATATGCATATGTTTTAGGAGGTTTCCATATGAGTTTCAAAATGCCTTGAATGTTAGTTGTCCCTCCCCACATTACCTCCTCCTGTATGCTTCTCTTCCATTTAATTCTGCTATTCGGGTTTCCTCTTTATCACTCCATAAAGGTATATCCTACTTCCCCTTCCTTGCAAGATCCCCTTCTCCACCTGGTCCCTTACTAGGTGCATAATCTCTGTGGTCATTTGATTGGTAGCACCTATGTCAAGAGGTTCTTTTTTTTTCCTAAAGCATATAAAGGTTAATGTCTACATATAATAGAAAATATGCAATATTTATTTGGGGGGTTATCACACTCTGATTTTTATAGCCCCATCCATTTACCTGCAATTTTCATTTTTCTTAATAGATGAATAATATTCCACTGTGCTTTTCAGACATTTGTGTTTAATCTTTTGAGAACTCTACTTAGTTCTATATCCCATTTTTTTTAGTTGGGTTTTTGTTTCTTCGTGTTTAGGTTTTTAGTTCTTTATATATTCTGTTAACCCTATGTCCCAATCTGTGGACTGCTGATTTCCTAGATGACACTGTCCTTTGCCACACAGGAGATTTTCACCTTGTCTGTGCCATCAATGTCGTATTCAGAAAGCTCTTTCCTTTACCAATGGATCAAGCTTATTCACCACTGCAAAGTTTTTCTCCATATGTGTGAGGGTATTTTTATAGTCATACAGTAGATTTCCCTCTGTTCATCCCCCCTTTTTTTAGTATATACATATGTATACATTCTATACACACACACACACACACACACACACACACACATATATATATATATATATATATTTGCAATTTTTAAAAATCATGTTAAACTGCCCCCAAAGAAAGGTTCAGGACCATTAGCTATCTCTATTTGTTTAACCTATGTAGTTACAGTTTTTAGATATATTTTTGTGTTTAATCATTTTTTTCTTAAAATTTTAGTTTTACTATGAACCAAATGAAGTTGGGCCAAATTAACAACTTGAGTTTACGTGAGCACTTATTTATAAGTCAATTTGGTATTAAGTACATGATGTGCAAGCCATGATCACATATAGTCAGTCTATAAACCCAATCATGTATAAAATACATAAGAAACCAAATTTTGACTGTTGTTTGTTTGCTAAGACTTTCTATGATTTATAAATATAATGAGTAATTTTTGTAGCAAAAAGGAAATGTAACATGGGAATCTCTGGGAGATAGATTGATCTAGAATGTGCAGAAACAAAAGCGGATGTATGTGAAGCACATGAGCTTGGGAGGTGGATTCTATGTCAGAGTGAAACGGGCCTGGAGAGATGAGGCAGAAACAGACAGCAGGCACTGAGATCCAGCATACCCTCACTGCAGCAGCTTGTCTTGCAACTGCCAATTTATCCTTTGAGTCACAAAGCATAAAACATACTTTGTTTAAAAGGGGTACAGTGATACCTTGAGGGTCCAGTGGGATTGCAAAGTTTTATGGCTGTTTTCAGTGTTTTCTTATGCATAGACCATAAGCACAGCCCCTGCTAAAGCAGGATCACAGAACCAGATAAGGCCCTCAGAGGCTGCTTGGACCTGGGACACCAAGATGGCCTCAGGTGGCAGTTCAGGCCACTCAGATCAGTGTGGTCCCCTGTGGCAGCACAGCCTACAGACATCAAATGTGGCTTTGGGAGGCAGCACAGACCACCGACTTCCACATGGGCCCTGCTGGCAACTGGGTCCATGGGCATCAACACAGACTCCAGCTGCTGCAGCAGGGCCTCAGACACAGATGTGGCCTTAGATGGCAGCAAGGACCAGGACCTCATTGTGTTCAACATGGCCCCTGGTGGCAGCCTGGCCACAGGCCTCAAAATGACTCCAGGCTGCGACACAGACCACTACCATCTGCTTGGCCCTCTGTGGAAACGTGCCAAAGACAGGAGACTGTACTGTACCCATGGCCATGGCAGGTAGGCCCCAAAATAGCAAAATAAGAAACAGAGGAAGGAATTCAGTCTCAACCCGAGGAAGCAGAGTTAGTATGTTGCTGTTAGAGTCTCCAGAATCAAGTGTGAGGTCTCTCTCAGGGTTGTAGGAGAGACAAGGGAAGGAGAAAGAGAGAACAGTGCTTTTAAAAACTCAAAAGTGTGTTTCCAGGTAGAGAGTAACTTCCAAAATTTTTCTACGGAATGTTACCAGCCCAGCTCTGGGATGGGGGAAGGGTGCTGGCAGCTCAACAGTCACTGCACAATCTCTCCAGGCCAGAGTCAGGGGCTAGCTCCTGCTTTCTTGCCTGTTTGTTCTAGTCATTTTTACTAACGACATCTCGGCGTTATGAGATAAATAACAATAGTGTATGTTGGAAGTAGTTTTCCCATTAACTGTCCTTACGGGCACAGTGCCTTCACCTTTAAAGCTGTTTGTTCTCTTTTCCTTGTCACAGAGTCAGAAGGCCAGCCTGACCCAAGACAGGGTTTGACAGACATTGTAAGACACATGCTTGAGTCTGAAATGGGAAGGCCAAATGCCAACTGCCGACAGCTTAGACAGCACAGGACAGTTTGCCGAAGTCACACACACACACACACACACACACACACACACACACACACACATGCAGGGCTACTCAGCTTGTGCACCAGCACTCCTTTTCATTATCACTGGACTGTATTTTTTCATATAGTCTAAACAGTTTATATATGATCAATATTTATTCAATTACATAAACACTGTATACGCATTCGATTTTTAAAAACCCAACATTAGTTGTAGGATAAAGGGAAAAGAAACTAATAAAAATGGATTGAGATAGACAATAAGAAGCCCAAGCCTCACATTTTACAGCAAAAAAAAGCAGATCATAACTAAATTAAAATGTCAGGCTGAGGAGATGATTCACAGGGCATACATAGTGTTTATTGTGCAAGCATGAAAAACAGCATCCACATAGAAGTTGGGTGTGGTGTCTCATGCCTGTAAAGCACCCCGGCTGCCCCGCCACTTTTATTTTATCAGCTCCTGTTTGGTTCCATAGCAGATAAACTTTTATTGTGCCATACCAGGCATAGTAGAAACCATCAGCAACCATATGAACCAGAGCTGTCCTTTTGTTCTGGGCAGGATGTAGGGGTCCCTGAAAGGTTCAGGCATTATGCTGGACTGCCCCTGTTACCTGGTGGAATCCACTCAGGCAATACCCTGGTCAGCCCAAGGTTCCATGGGAAAGAAGTCTGCCCGCAGGTGCAGAGGACCCCTTTAAAAGATAGGCCTCTGCCCCTTTACTCTCTCTCTCGCTCTCTCTCTCTCCCCGTCTCTCTCTCTGTGTGTGCTCTCCTGTCTCTGTTTGCCCGCTCTGTCTATGGCGACCGGCCATGGCGGTCAGCCATTACCCTGTTCCTCTTCTTAGTCTCCCCATTCTGCATTATAATAAACTTATAGTCAATATGTCTGTCTCAATATTTCTCTTTTCTTCTTTTTAAACAAAAGAATAACAGTCCCCAGGAGGGAAGAGGTTTCAGGTCTCAATTGGGCCGTGGAGTGTGAATAGGTAGAGTGGGAGACAAGTTGGTGGAGAGCAGCCCACCACCTGATTAAAATCTGAGAGAGAAATGGAGGGACACAGGAAGATCAGGAGTGGAGATACAAGAAGGTGTGAAGGCAGGAACTTCCGGCATTTCAGTTTTGTTTGATGAAGTCCTCTAAGTCAGTGAGGATTTGGAAGTCAAAAGTAGTGACGCCTGGCCAGGTATACTTGATACTGGGGCCACATCTGAGCAGGGTAGCAGGTCTGAGTCTGGCTAGACCTGAAGTTTCAAGGTTTAATTTTAGGCATGCCTAAGGCTGTCCTTAGGCATGGACAATTTGGAATTCACCTCAGAAGGAGAAGGAGAAGGGGTCATTTCCCAAGTTGCCATCTGGGTTCAGACAGTGGCTGGAGGAACAAGCATGATTAGCAAAAGAAGGTGTCCCCAGCCTGTGGATCAGGTGGCAAAGCCAAGGCACTTCTGGAGTTCTGGACAAGGCCTAGGTGTGGAGCCACCTCCAACTGAGACCTGATCTACCTTAGCAATGAGTATGTAGCAATGGGCGTGGCCTAGGAAACAGTTCAGAGTCTCTGTTCTGGATGTCAGTAGATAGTGATGGGGAGACAGGAGGACAGACTAGGAAAACAAACCAAGCTGAGTTTACATGGCATGCCAATAACGCCCCAGAGTGGGGCTTGCACCTTTTGTAGACACAGATCCCTCAATCCCAGAGCTTTCAAGTTGCAGCTAGCAGTGAGTCAGGGGAATCACAGTCTCAATGGGATGGCTACCAGAAAGGGAGGGTGGGGAAGGAGAGAGAGAATGATCACCAGAGAGTGAGGGAACAGCAGCCCCAAAGCCCTCTTGGGTTTCAGCATCCAATGTTAGACTGATGGGGGCAACTAGAAAATAAAGAAAGAGGCCTACCGAGGAGGCAGACTGCCTTTACCAGAACAAAGGGCAGCCGTCTCTCCATGGGAGTAGAGACTCAACCAGGGTATTACAGGGCAGAAAAGGAGCTTCTGGGATGGAAGATTCCATCTGCAGATCTGTTCCTCTGCAGTCTCGAATCTGTCAGTGCCAGTGGAGGTAGATGTGTCCACCCTCCTGTCAGAGCTTCCAGGATCCTAACCCTGCAGATGTCATCAGCATGTCAACTTTCCTGTCTGGAGTTTCTCAACTCATCTGAGGCTTTTAGGTCATTAACGCTTTGGTAGTACCCAAGATAAAAGATATTTCACCATTGTAGAAATGTTGCCAGTGTAGTCATTGTGGTGCCTGTGGGCTTTGCAGACAGATAGGCCTACCAGATGTTCCTCATGGCGACCTTCCCAGTACCTTCTGATACTATGAGCCTCGTGTCAGGGAAGATCAGTCCCAGCTCAATTACTCCAAGTCCTATGTCCAAAGTGTATGGTGTTTTCACAGTCAAACCTTATCTTCAAATTCTGGGAGGCAACCAAGGGCAATGCCAATAGTCTATATTGTTTTGGAGGTGGTGTCTTGGCCTCCTCTGACCAAAGACGTGAGAGGGGTTTCTTATGCATGGTACTGAGTTGTTTTTTGTTTTTGTTTTTATTTTTTTAGGTGCTCCATGGCTATTAGGGGGAGCATTATCATCCCTAGGATGGTGACACTTTCTTGAAATCTTACAAAAACTTTACTTAAACAAGGAAAATAATTGTTAAGATAAAATCGACAGGAAGCATTTCAGTGTGACAAGGTTCTCATAATCCATATAAGCCCAGTAACAAATCCTTATCTGCCAGAGACTAGGTGCAGAAGGAATAAGGCTGACACTTCAATTTATAGTTTTCATTACATATATAAATACTGAAATTATCACAAGTGTAATCACCAGTTGCTTCTGGTTAGCTTTTGAATGGTGTAGCACACAGCCTGGAATACTCACACCCCTCAAAAGCAGCATTGGCTTCTGTCCACTTTCTACTGCCCAGTCAGCCTCTCAGTCACCCTCAATTATAGAAACAGACATCTTAGTGTCTATAATGAGATGAAGAAATCCCTGGGTCATACCACTTAAAAAGTAGTATTAAACACCTTCATAGACACCACTGCCTCACAAAGCAAGCCCAGCATGCTGTTGCAGTACTCCTAGTTCCTTAAGTACTTTGGGCCATGTGGGCTTCTGTACTGTGTGCCAC